CCAGGAAGTCCTAGAAGACACCAGGCTTTGTTACAAGCCTGTTATAAATCCCTACAAGTCTTCTGAGCCGTACTGTCCATATTTGAAGCCCCTTACTGATGTAAGGGCACACCAGCACAGCAGTTGTGTTGCTGTACTCATTGAGTTCGAAGCTCTCAAGATTCAAGCAGGGAAATCATAGATGCAGGTGTTTCACCTGATACACATCCTCCCTATTCAGAAGATAATGGTAAATATGTCTCTTCTTTCTGACTCCCCAGTCACCAGTTCTCTCCAATACCACCCCGTGCAAGCCCTGTTGCATCATATTACGGATAAGTTTCAAGAACAAACAAAGATCGGGGAGAGAAATCTTAACTCAGATTTATTTTGCTGAGCTTTAAGCTTTTATTTTATATTAATGGGTCATTTTAGAAATAGCCTTAATTTTCACCATTTGAATATGAAAAATAGATGAAGGGTAGTCATGAATATGTTGAATAATAAAGGACTCTTATGGTTACATAGAACTGTTATTAGTTAATATTCAGAATAGGCAAAACCAGTTGTAACAAGTAATGAACTAAAGATAACTGCAATATATTTGATTGATATATAATGCTTTATATACTGAACAAACTAGTAAAAGCAAGAATAGAGTTAGATTAGAATTTGTATCCAGTAGGAAATCCAGCATTTGCCTTTGTCCTAAATTTGGATAAATGGATTAGTTAGGATTTCCATGGGATATAATTCAGAAAGCTTTAATTCAGAATGATCCAATGTATGTTATTTTTCATGTAACAGACCCATTCCATTCAGCTAATATAAAATTATTGGTTTCACATCATAGCATGGTTTGGCTTGGAAGGGATCTTAAAGATCATCGGGTTCCAACCACTTTGCCATGGGCTGGGACTACACCAGGTTGTTCAAAGACCCATTCAACCTGACCTTAAACACATCCAGGGATGGGGTATCCACAACTTCTCTGGGCAACCTGATCCAGTGTCTCACCACCTCCATAGTAAAGATTTTTTTCCTAATATCTAATCTAAATCTAGACTCTTTCAGTTTAAAGCCATTCCCCCTTTCCTTGTTTCTACATGCACTTGTAAAAAGTCCCTCTCCAGATTTCTTATAGGCCCCCTTTAGGTGCTCAAAGGCTGCTCTAAGGTCTCTCCAGACCCACCCTTCCCCAGGCTGAACAAACCCAACTCCCTCAGCCTGTCTTCATAGGAGAGGTGGTCCAGGCTCTCTTAAGCACTAAAAGAGCACACTTCAACATGCCCAAAACTCAGATTCTCTCCTACCTTAGCTAGATTGCACCTTTGAAAATATTCACACTAAGTCATACGTGCTCTTGGCACGTATTTTTATGGGGACAATGCAGACTGCCACTAGAATATAATGGGACCCGGAGCACAGTTCCTACAAAGCAGTGTGATCATACAGGAAGAGGATTCAATTTTTGTCAGACAGCCTAGCTTCATATCAGGTCAGAATTTCTGACTCGCACTCAAAGCATGTGAAGTTCAGCCCTGGGGTTCAAAATAACATGTTCAGAGAGAAAGGCCTGCAGCCCAATGACATGTGCTATCATCTCATCTCAGGTTTTCACCTTTCCATCTCAAGCATTGCCAGTGCTGCAAAGTGGAAATGGCACACAAGCTTCCAGGTCTTGATCCTTCTCTTGGGCTATGTAACATAACATGAGAGAGGTCACATGTATGACCTCCCCAGAACCTGTGGGACAGGTTAGGATGTGCTGTGTGATCCTAGCTTACTTCAGCAAAACCAAACATTCCAATTCAGCTTGAAGTGAATCAACAGTTTGCATTTGAATTTTCCTCACTTCTTTTTTATTCCAAAAATTTTTTTTTTTATTTTTTTTTTGGGGGGGGGGAGGAGGGAAATGGGACACAGTACAAATTCTGCTTTCCTTTGGAAAAATGCTGCAAATGAAAAACTCCCCCACGGCGACAGTAGTGACCTCAGAGATAAGCAGCCATGCCCGTGGTGGCTTCCAATCTATCTCCTCCCTCATCGCTTGCAAGGCACCAGCGCTCATGCTGTCCAGGACAGCCTGGCCTCCCCTGGCTAAGGGGGAAAATGAGTAGCAGAGCTGCCATGCTCAAAAAAGATCTGCAGCTTGGATGTCCGTTCTTCCCACTGCTGTAGTACCAGCAGGAGTGGAGAGGCTACTGCAGGATCCTCCTGCCTCAAGAGATGCAGGTTTTACCTGAGTCAATGCAGCTAAAAAAACAACGGGCAGACTGGGTCATATGTAGTAGGGGAGGAGGGTACTTGAAGAGGAGATTTAGTGTGAAGATCTGATTCATGATCAGTGTTAGCTAGAAAGGGCTGTGGTAGTGTAATCATCCAGGACAGATTTAGACCCATTTTCTAGCAGCATACACACCTATTATTTAATAAAGTTACCAAATGTAGGGCCAGCAGATTAAGTACTCTTATAATAGTCATTGGTTTTTCAGCTTTCTTAGGCACAGAGAAGTGAAGTGGCTGGTCAAAGACCACAAAAGCCTGATGAATTTACCTACTGCATCTCCTGAGCACCTGGGAAATCCTGGAATTGTAGCTCAATCCCTGTGCTCAAACCATTATATCAACATCATTCCCAGGCACCAGAATCACCTCAAGTCTTTTGATACCAGCAGGGGATACAATTGTGTAACATACACATCTACATGCTTTCTGCACACCCTACATCAATGGTAGTCAGCCTGGATGAAGATTTTCCTACTTCTTCAGTTAGATACTTAACACGTGTACCGAATATAATACAGGATGAACACTTTATGGAAATGCTTCTGCCACTCTCTCTTTTATATGACCCTTAAACCCTTTTTCCCTGCATGCCCAGGGCTGCACTTGGATATTGCATGCACTGGCAGCAGAACCCGGGGAATGGTGCATTTTCTTGAATGAACCAAACTCTGCAGCCCTGTTTGCTGCCTGCTCCCCTGGGCTCAGCCTTCAGCTCCATTGCTGAAATTTCTTACCCTTGGGCACTGCACACTCGTCTCTCCCACTCTTGGGAATAAAAGGATTTCTGGTACCTCAGCCGCCAGCCAAAGCTGATGACAAGGTGAGAGAAATCTCCACTTATTCCTTTCCCCCATCTGTTACATGTTAGGAGGCAATCAATTAGGGAACCACGGGGAGAATATAGCTATGCTGGGGAGAGGGGGTTGGAGAGAAGTGCTCTCCCTTCTTGGGATCAGGTCAGGTGACGTTATAACCCATGCTCATACATGTTTCAGGCACTGCTGCCCTGCATAATTTTCTTTTGAATTTCTCTGAAAACTCTTCAGAAGTTCCCAGGTCTTTTTTTACCTCTCTAGGTTAGGCCTCTCTTCTGCTCTGCCACAGAGGTGCTCCAGTATCGACCCCACAAGGGGTTAGTTTTTCAGTCTCTTCCTGTATAAGCAGCTCCTAGGGCTTTGCTTCAGAGTCCTACTCTGTCTCTCCTTTAGCACCTGAATGTGCCAAAACGAAACACTGGGAATGGGTCCAAGCAGTGGAGAAGGGACAGAGTCAGCGCTGACAGTCAGAAGTGCAAGTAAAAGTTCACATTCAACCACAGGAGATTCAGCAATGACAGATCACAGAAACCCTGCCAGGGTACAACAGGCCAATGCCCTAGAGATGACCATGCTTTCCACACAGCATAATGAAAGAAGAAGAGTCAGTGGGGCAACACAAAGTGATTATTCCCACAGCTGGATAACAATGAGGACAGACACCTAGAATCTATGAAATTAAGCTAGAAACAGTGAACTGCACCCTATACTGCTCTGTCCACTCCAGAGTTGAATATCCCAAGTGACAGAGAGTAGTCAGGCCCACTCAATAAACAAAAAAATGAATGCTCTCTGCACATGTGCCTTTCTTCCATTTCACAGGAGGCAAAGAAGTGTTGTCATGGTGGATTTACCCCAGCCAACTGCCAAGTAAACACAAAGCTGCTTGCTCACTGGACATCTGTGTACAGTAAACCCATTGTGGGTGGGTAAACTCAATGCACTTTCCACTGGAAGGTGAAAACTTTTCCCAGTTAAAGACTGTAGGAAGGAAAGGCTTTGCTCACACAGCGCCTGCTTATGGAAGTACACCCAAGCATCCATCGATATTGGAGCTTGCCCGGAGGCACACCTTCTTTTGGCTATACTGTAACTGTGTGAGTGCTTATCTGCAGCACACCTATGCAGTCAGGACACAGTCATATGCCTCACATGTGAACTGTACATGCAGGTGCAATGCACTGCAATTCATCTACACACACATGCACCAACATTTTCAAAACCACCAGAGAAATACCTCACCCTTAGTAAGACTGACAAAAACTGGTTATCTCTATCTCCTTCAGTGTCTAAAATTCTATGTTTAAATAACTTGCATCTTAATGAAAAGGGCTGTTGCAACTAACCAAGGAGGAACACAGGACGGACTCTCATCCAAGTGCATGTTCAGCCTTGTGGTGAGGTCTATATGGAGTCCACTGCCACAGATTAAGACTGGCAGGACAGAGTAAGAAACTTTCTATTCCTGCAGTGCTGGAGCTTTCACCTTAAGGTGCAGACATCTATGAAAAGAAGCCATCTCTAGGCAGGAGCATATACTCTTCAAATGGGCCTCAAAAAAACATCTTTAGAGTGCAAAGCATTTCCTTTCCAGGTCTCACTCCCTAGCAGCCACATTATCAGGGTATCAGTGCCACTAGACCAGACACCCAGATCTGGTAGCCAGCCAGGCTACACTAGACAAAGGTTCCTACCATGACAAAACCTAACTTCAGGTCCAGGTTGATTTGGAAGGACCAGAGCTGAGCAGGAGGAAAGAGGAAGCATACAAAAGGATGGAGTTTCAGGTCCATTATATGCATCCTCTCCTTTCCCTTTTTATATGACATGGAAACACCACAGCCTCAGCAACGTCTGGGGCTGCCTCCCTTTTTGCTATAAAACAAACGTATCAGTTTCCCTCCCTTCCCACCATACCTTGAATAGTCCTTTTGAAGAAGGCTTTGCATGCCTCACAGGAAGCCACGCCGTAATGGTACCCAGAAGCAATGTCCCCGCACACCAGGCATAGCCGCTTGGGAATTGCATTGAGCATGTACTCGCACTTGGTGGGTGAGTCCTCCATGATGGCACTGGCGCAGTCATCGTAACGCTTGCGGCAGGACCCACCACCAATCCCTGTGCCATTGAACATGGGTGGTGAGTCTAGGCCATTGGGGTGGCCACCCATGGCGATGCCGTAGCCACCGCTAGCATCGGAGGAGCCACTTGGGCTGTGGTGGCTGATGGCGTCGATGCCAGAAGATGGGCTGGAGGGCTCGGTCTTGATGAAGGACCCACAGCTGGAGGAGAGGTGCCGCTCCTCTGTGGCCATTCTGCCGAGCAGCCTGCAGGGAGAGAGCAAAGGCACTTAGAGACCTCCTGGCCAAACCCAGCTCCAGGTTGGTCAAAAGAGATCTCTTCTTTCCCCACCTCAGTCCAGCTCCCATTGGCTCAGGCTGTTCAACCCCACCCTGGTTCTTCTCCTTCAGGCGTATCAGTACAACTCAATAAAAACAAAATCAGTACAACTCAATAAAACAAAAACAGCATTCCTATTACCCACAAATTCACAGTAGAATAAAGACAAGGCTATTCACGTAGACCATGATTTCAGGCTGTATAAAGGCTGCAGTACTGCGAAGGGGCATCAGTGCTGATGAGGCACAATCTACCCAGAGCACAACCTAACCCTGGGACAGCAGAAAGAAATGAGCCCATCTGTGGCAGACCTAGTGAAAAAGATGTTTGTTCAGTTCAGAATGTGCTGCCCTGGCTCTAAGCAAAGAGTTCACAAGCAGATCATGCAGAAAGGACTTGCTCAGATTGGATTTTCTTTTGTAATACAGAAGTAGTTGATTAATTTTCATGTCGGATTTCCCCTTCCCTCTCCCGTCCCCCTTCACTATCATCACTAAAAGAGGAGCTTAGAAACTGATGGAAAATCATATGATCAAAAGCTTCATGCAGCTTAATCTTAAATCTTTATCTTTCTTCTATTTACTAATACAGGGCTTTTGCATGGAGATGCTTCTCTCAAATTCCCATTTCTTAGAGAGAGGTTTATGCTCTTAAGTATATGGAAAGGACTGCATTTTTACCAACTCTGAAACTCTTACTTAGAATCCCAGAATGGTTAGGGTTGGAAAGGACCTTCAGATCATGTAGCTCCAACCCCTCTGTCAATCAGGGGCAGGGATGCCTCACACTACATCATGTTGTCCAAGGCTCTGTCCAACCTGGCCTTGAACACTGCCGGGGATGGAGCATTTAGCACTTCTTTGGGCAACCTGCTCCAGTGGCTCACCACCCTCACAGTAAAGAACTTACTTTAGTTAAAAAAATAAAGTTTAATAAAGAATAATAATAATAAAATGTTTAATAAAACTACTTATTTTAGTGAGATAGTCTTACTCTTTACATAAATCTTCAGTCTTTTTTTAGAACTGTTATTTTTATGACATCTTATGGCAATGAGTTCCAGGGATTACTTTTGTGGTGTATAAACAAACAAAAAAACCCCCCACTTTTATACACCTATACTGTATTTGCAGCCTTTCAGGCTCCCTGAACATCTCCTGGCACTCGTCAGGAAATGTACTTCTGCCATGTTCTCCTTATTCAGCTCTTTGCTATCTATATAATTGTTCTTCACATAGAAGATTTTGCAGACTTCTTGTCTGCTTCATCATCCATCTCTGAACTTCCTCTTGTCTGGCTATTTCTGTTCAGTCCAGAACAGAGTTCAATGAGCCAGCTCCTCAGCAGCATGAAACTGGCATTGCTGCAGCATTTCTCCAGCTGAAGGTCTGGACAGTGGTCACACCATCAATTACTTACTGACATTACCATATTTTCAATGTTATTTTCAACCTATTATATAACTCCTTACACTGTTTCCTTTTTTTTTTTTTTGTTTTTAAATTGAAATCTAAATTGTTACCATTTCTTCGACAGAGAATATCAGCAAGTTGCTTATTGCAATCCTCAGATCTGTTCCTGTGTTGCTGCAGTTAATTTAGAATCCATTAAGATGTATGAAAGATCAAATTAATGCCTTCTGATGTGCAATGTTTTGCAATAGGCGACAGTGCATTTTATCTACCACTGTGCTGTCCATGCATCCAGCTTTATTAGGATCCTCTGGAGTTTTTCAGTCTTTCTTGATAATTTGATGTCACCTGCAGTCTCATTGTTCATCCACATCCCAGATCATTAACACATGGATCAAACACAACAACACTGATCTTTGTGGGTGATTCATGTTAACCTTTATGATGCTGAAAATTGACTTCTCTTTCTTTTCTGGGTAGGGTATGTCTACCTTTCCTTTTTTGTCTCAAGACACTTTTTAATTGATAATAGTATTAACCTGAGAGGTTAAATTTTCCCTTAAGCAAGACAGTTTTTCAAAGGCTTTTAAGAAAACCTAAATACATGCATTTTCCTGATGACATGTCCAAAGAATTCTGACTGACTGGAGATGCTTGACTTTTCTTCTTGGAAGCTCTGCTGGTTTAAAGTTACCATACCACAGTCATGTGGATAACTTCTATTTCAGTTTCAGCCTATTTACCTGGTGTTTATGGCAACTCCTTCTGCCAAAAGGTCAAACCTGTCAGGAGACAGGACAAAACATTCTGTGATACAGCAAGGCTGGAGTGCATGTGTAAATATATCACATCTCTGTGTCTGTTGGTGTGAATGTGGCTATGCAGCAACTTTACAGTCCTGCATCCTTATGATTTCATTTGACCCATGTATCGCCTAATTTTCCCTTCTCTGTTTCATCCTCGATGTTTGACCTCATCTCCTACCTCTGGAATCGATCAGCTAAGTTTGTTATTTGGCAAGACTCTTGACCTTGAGAGTATAGGCAGGCATCTCACGTTCCTCAGCTGTTTTGTGTGGTGTTACTTGAGAGGAATCCAGAGGCGGGTTCCTCTCAGAGACAGTGTGATGAGCTGATGAATGCCCATACTTTGCTCAGAGGGTCAAGTATGACTAGAGGCCATGGAGCAGTCACAGGAATAATTGCTGCAGGTGCATTCATCTTTACTCTCACAGGGCACCTAGACAGATTGCAGATCTCCTGGTGTAATGCCAACTGACTGTGTGGAAGAAGATGCTTTGCTAGTTGAGACCAGATCTTAGCATCTCACAGCAAAGCTGAAAGCTGCTGTGCTGGCCAGATGCTGGTACTTTCCCTACCTGAGAAGTACATTTGTAGTAAAAATCTGAAGATCATTGGGCGCAATAATATGAACTGGGGGCAAAATGGAAGGCAAAACCACCATAAAACACTGTTCTGCACTGCAGAACTCCACATTAAAAGGAGTTGGAATGCTAAAGGCAGACGGAGGACACCACTATGATAAAGGCATGACAAGGAGGTGAGCTGTACTGTTAGATTCAGTCAGCAGAGTTCAAATCCCAGTTTCTGTCTCCTAAAAAGCCCAGAATTCCCAGAGAACCTCAAGAGGACCCACTGAGGTATTTCCCCTCCATAAAAAAAAAAAAATAATGAGGGGAGACCAGTCTCCTAGGACCAACGCACTCCCCAACTCACAACAGCAATTAAGGAGCCTTCCTCCCCAGGGAAGGCAAACACTGACAGTGACTGTCTGATTATAAATCAAGGATAGCAACAAACCCCCTACACCCTCACAGCTGAGGATGCTCCTGTTCCCTTCCAGGTGACAGTAATACACAGTGAGTTCTGGTTAGATGTGAACATGTGCTTTAGAGGCAAAAGTCCTGAACACCAAGACAGGTCAAAGAGCATAGCTAAGGTGACTCCAGCCATTCCAGTCCTTGTGTTACTCTTTTCTGGCCTCTGGTGCAATTTGCATAGCTGATTATTGCTGGGCAATACACACTGAGTTAAGCCTCGCTAGCTCTGACTCTTTGACTTTCTGCAAGTCTCATGGAGATCCCGTGGTGATTTTTAAACAGACTTGAGAGTGTCCCCTGGCAATGAAATACAACATCAAGAACAGCTAAATGTTTCTTGCAGAGTTCAAAGTGATGAACAGCCATTTTGCTCATCTCTAGTTACCTTAATAGGAATGTAAAAGGAGAGAGACTTGATCCAACTCTTCTCCATGCTGGCACAGGAAACTCCCGTTACTATTTCTGTGCCTGTGTAACAGGCTTAGAAGTTCTAAACGTTTCGTTCTTTTCACCTTTCCTCATCATAGGTCATTCCCTCTAATCCCTTTAGCATCTCTGTGACCCTTCTCTGGATTTCTTCCAACTTGCCTGGGTCTCTCTTGCAGCAAGGTGCCCTGAATCACACAGTACAATGCCACAGCAGTACAGGGAAGAGTCACTCTAGAAGGCACACAGCCACACAGATGTATGGACCAACTAAGCAGCAGCTTTGCCAGACATCAGACTGCACATCAGCTCACACCATTTGTTAGCCACTGTCTCATTGGGACCTCTCTGAATATAAGCTGCTTTTGCTACCATGTTCTACACAACATGAAATCTGGAGATTCTCCTTGTTCCAAAGTAGATCTGGTATCATCTTTAAACCACACACTGCCAATTGCCACTTGTTTTACCAAAGCCTGTTGATAATACTAATCTTTTCAGCCTAGCTCTTCTTTTTTCTACTTTGATTTTTTTTTCTTCTATCTTTCAGTTCTGTCAACTGTAAAATTGAGAACTTTGTATTTTCCTCCAGGTCACTAATGAATATTTAAAGTCAAAAAACACTGCCCTTTTGGACACCACCTTTGCAGAAGGATAAAGAATATCTCTAACCCTTCTGTTTATACCCTGTCAGCTAATCCATGATTCATTTCACAGGATTTGTATCAAAACCAATTTGATCTAATTTCCCTAATCAGATCTTGCACAGCTTTGTGTCAAAAGCCCATGCATCGTCCAGAGACAGTCTATCCATTGCATTCCTTTTACCCACTAATTATCTAATTGTATCAAGAGAGGTTACTGTCTGCTGTACTCCTGTTTCATAAACCCACTGCTGCTTATCACTAACAATGTTGTTAGCCTTTATGCGCCTGTAACAGCCCTCAGACAGGCATGCTCCAACCTCAGTGATTCTGGATGTAAATATTCAGGTTTAGACCAAGTCAAGATTGTGCTTTAGGTTTTTATCCACTAGTGTTATCTCCCTCAGGCAGTGATGTTAGGTTAACGTTACAAGTTCCACCAATTCTTCTCCAGCCTTTCATCTTTTGCCGTTTCTCTGTAATGCCTGGACTGCTTATGAGTTTAATGCTCTCTTGACAACAGCAGCAATACTAAGAGAAGGAAAGACTGCCAGATGGACAGGACCAGAAAGGGACAAAACATTAGTGTTATAAAATCAAGGCAG